CACAAACGTTGCCTTACCATCACTTGTAATTATTTGTCTTAGTAGGGACATTGTGTATATTTTTCCGGCTATAACTTCAAATCTTCTTTTACATAATAAAGTTTCTTAGACTCGTTACAGACTGTATTTGTTTTCCTACTATAAAACAAAGCACATTGAAAGAGGTGAATGTATTTTTTTTTATTTTGAAATAGTACAACTACAAACATATTTCAGAACTGCAGAGTGGACGTGCACCATGGGGGCCGCTGAGGACGTGCACCATGGGGGCCGCTGAGGACAGCACGTTTTCAATGTCTGTTGGCACCTTTCACAGACGCATCAGGGAAAGGATCTGGTCATCAGCTTCTCTGGACAGAGGGCGTTCAGTGCTTCCTGAAAGAACCGTTATGACAAATGACTATATATTCTGTTACTTGTAGCTTTTCTTTCAAAGTGGTGAGTTTCCTTACAGTGTAATAGTGTAACGTAATTGATTGACTGCGGAACCTTCCGCAGTCAACCATTGGTTTTGTATTTCTTTATTCCGTCATTTTTTTTGACACGTTTCACAGCTTTCACATTTTCAACAATTTCCACAAGTTATACATCAAAACGTTCCACATGTTTGGGAGATTATTGCTATTACTTTTGGGACTTCAGCGATTTCCGGTTTTTCCGCAATCGGACAAAAATCTGCATTGAGAATTCTGCAATGCATTTTAATAGGCCCATGCATTTTAATAGGACTTCAGCTCTTTCAGACATTTCTACAGTTTCAATGATTCAACAGTTTCAAGGATTCAACAGTTTCAAGGATTTCAGCAGTTTCAAGATTTCAAGAGTTTCAAGGACTTCAACAGTTTCAAGGACTTCAGCAGTTTCAAGGACTTCAGCAGTTTCAAGGACTTCAGCAGTTTCAAGGACTTCAGTGTAATCATGCAACCTAATAGGGATTTTTCCATGTAAACCAGTATAATGCAACTTAATAGGGATTTTTCCATGTAAACCAGTATAATGCAACTTAATAGGGTTTTTTTCATGTAAACCAGTATAATGCAACTTAATAGGGTTTTTTTTCATGTAAACCAGTATAATGCAACTTAATGGGGATTTTTCCATGTAAACCAGTATAATGCAACTTAATAGGGATTTTTCCATGTAAACCAGTATAATGCAACTTAATAGGGATTTTTCCATGTAAACCAGTATAATGCAACTTAATAGGGTTTTTTCATGTAAACCAGTATAATGCAACTTAATAGGGTTTTTTTTCATGTAAACCAGTATAATGCAACTTAATGGGGATTTTTCCATGTAAACCAGTATAATGCAACTTAATAGGGGTTTTTACATGTAAACCAGTATAATGCAACTTAATAGGGTTTTTTCCATGTAAACCAGTATAATGCAACTTAATAGGGATTTTTCCATGTAAACCAGTATAATGCAACTTAATAGGGGTTTTTACATGTAAACCAGTATAATGCAACTTAATGGGGATTTTTCCATGTAAACCAGTATAATGCAACTTAATAGGGGTTTTTACATGTAAACCAGTATAATGCAACTTAATAGGGTTTTTTCCATGTAAACCAGTATAATGCAACTTAATAGGGATTTTTCCATGTAAACCAGTATAATGCAACTTAATAGGGTTTTTTTCATGTAAACCAGTATAATGCCACTTAATAGGGTTTTTTTCATGTAAACCAGTATAATGCAACTTAATGGGGATTTTTCCATGTAAACCAGTATAATGCAACTTAATAGGGGTTTTTACATGTAAACCAGTATAATGCAACTTAATAGGGGTTTTTTACATGTAAACCAGTATAATGGAACTTAATAGGGGTTTTTACATGTAAACCAGTATAATGCAACTTAATAGGGATTTTTACATGTAAACCAGTATAATGCAACTTAATAGGGTTTTTTACATGTAAACCAGTATAATGCAACTTAATGGGGATTTTTCCATGTAAACCAGTATAATGCAACTTAATAGGGGTTTTTACATGTAAACCAGTATAAAGGATAACAGTTTAAAGGATCTCAGGAGCTTCAAATACTTCAGGAGTTTCAAAGATGTTTAAAGTATTTTAACAGTTTTTTTCAGCAAGGATTTTTCAGCTAAATTCCACATTAGATCTGTTTCGCAGTCAATCGCAATGGCTTCAGCCATTGCAACGGTTTCTAGTTAGTTATGACAGTACTTTTGCGTTTCGGACAAGCTTTACTGGAATTGTTTTTCAGTCCCACATCTCACTGTACAGCTCTGATACACTTTGATTTTGTCTTCATTCTCTGAACAATAAGCACATAATACAGATGTTGATTACATCAATAAATGTATCTTTATTTTGTGACATTGAGAAGGCGGCTTCCAGTGAGATGCAGCTTTACTGTCACATAATACATTACTACAGTGTTGTCTATAAAGAACTCCAAATATACAAATTGTGAGGAAATAAGTAGCAGTAATGTATTACTTTAAATAACCTTCATGTAAAGCTTTGTTGTTATGTATATGCATTACATTCATCTAATACATATGTACTGTAACAGATGTTACAGTGCATAATGTTGAGACACGTCACACTGCAATCTGCAACATTATGTTTATCACAACAGTTATCAGTGTACCAACTATAAAAGCAGTATTATTCTATAAAAGACTGGATTGTTTTTATCTCTTTCTTAGTGATGCTATCCTAGCTAACACCAAGCTGCTTCCAGTGTTATTGCTAGGTTACAACTGAGCTATTCTATGCTAATATTTCACTCCCAGAGTTTGTTAATATACTTACGAGTAGACCTGACGGAGATGAACATACTGCTGCCATCACCAAGACGATGCGCGTTCATGTGGTGTGACGAGGAGACGGGGGCGGGGCTAATAACTCGCTCAGGCAGAAGAAATTGCCGGAAACGACCAAATCGCTTACTGCTGCTTTAATGAATGAAAGTTATTGGATCATATTGTTTTAGAATCAGAATCATTTTTATTGCCACGTAAGTAACAGGAGGACACATACTTGGAAATTGCTTTGACTCAGTGCAACAGTCAGAAAGAGATAATAAAAATAAAGAATAAAAAACACTTCTAAGGAATACATTTAAATTTAAAATAGAGTTACAGTTACTATTTACAGTATACAAGTGCACATGGTGCACACAATGTAAGGTGACAGCAGTACAGTGAAGTAAAGTGACGTATGATGGGCAGTAAAGTGACTTTATAAAGGGCGGGGGGACAGGTTAACCCTTGTATTATGTTGACAAAATATGACATTGTTTATGTTGCGGGTCATTTTGACGCGTACTGTGTAAATGCACTCAAAACAGTCAAGAAAACAGGTTAAACCAATAACAACTTATATATAAATAAGTTATATAAAGGTTATAAGGTTATATAAATATTTAGAAAAGTGACATACAATACATTTTTAATTCCAACACTATATTTAGGAAAGATTTAGTCTAATCTTCTTGTCCTCCTCTCGGGTCAAAATGACAATTCTTCCCTCCTGCCATGCTTTCTCCTTCCTTTTTCTCATCCTGTTTTCCTTCTCTGTTCATCCTCCTCTATTCCCTTCTTTTCTCTTCCTTCCTTCCTTCCTTTCTTTCTCCCTTCTTTCCTTCCCACCTTACTTCATTCCTCCCTTCCTCTTTCCTTGACCAAAGATTCGTCCTCTGAATCCTCCTTCAGTAGGAAAATTGACAATCTGGATCAGCAATAACATTGTCCTCTGTCTCTGAAAAATCCTCTGTTTCTGAAATCTCTTCCTCTACATCATTATCCCAGTTAAAAATTTGTGAAACAGCCTCCTCAGATGTCATCCTTCTGGAGCTCATTTTTGGTGAGTTTGTATAAAGCCTAGCGCACATCGACAGAGTAACTGGAGACAACTAGTTGAAGGCGGCTTTTGGCAACTGAGAGTAGATGATGGAGATGTTCAGTTGAAATAGGTCGATGTGAGCGCTCTTACAACTGGAGATAAACATTCGATCTATGGATTCAGTCAGTTGCCCGTGTTCTACTTATTGGCAACTAGTTGTCCTCAGATCCGGAGATATCACCCGATGTACGCCCTCCAACAACATGTGTGTATTGCGCCCTCTACAGTTTATGTCAGAAAACACACTGTAGTTGAGGCCAGTTTCTGTCGATGTACGCGCTGTTATTCCTGAGACTGGCCTGATACTGGGAGTTGCCCGTTTCATGTGTGCGGGGCAGCAACTCATAGGCAACGGATATATTCAGTTGTCAATCCGATGTACGCTAGGCAAAAGAGATGACATGAGAACAGTGACAAGTGTGAGAAAGTTCCCTCTCTTCACACACCTGACTCTGGGTCTCAGAGGCAATCAAAACACAATCTCAAAGAGACATGTTTTTTTGGATCTGAACAACTATTTACCCACATTAAAGCGTCTGGGTCAAAATGACCCGCAACATCATCTTTGTATACAAACTCTGCACAGACATTCCACTACACATCAAAGTGTCCAGATTTTACACACCAGTTCATGACCCTAGATGAGGAAAAGTCACCAAATTTCAGCTAGAAAAAGTACTTTGATCAACACAAAAACTGAAATGGGTCAAATTGACCCTTAACATAATACAAGGGTTAAGAAGTGTTCAAGAGTCCAACAGCAGAGGGGAAGAAACTGTTCTTGTGGCGGGAGGTTCTAGTCCTGATGGACCGCAGCCTCCTGCCTGAGGGGAGTGGTTGGAATAGTCCATGTGCAGGTGAGAGGGGAGTGGTTGGAATAGTCCATGTGCAGGTGAGAGGGGAGTGGTTGGAATAGTCCATGTGCAGGTGAGAGGGGAGGGGTTGGAATAGTCCATGTGCAGGTGAGAGGGGAGGGGTTGGAATAGTCCATGTGCAGGGTGAGAGGGGAGTGGTTGGAATAGTCCATGTGCAGGTGAGAGGGGTCGGCTGTGATACGACCAGCCCGGCCTCGAGCTCGGGCGACGTACAGGTCCTGCAGCGATGGAAGGCTGCGGCCGATCACTTCCTCTGCAGAGCGCACAATGCGCTGTAGTCTCTGTTTGTCCCTGACTGTGGCTCCAGCCAACCACACGGTGATGGAGGAGGTGATGGAGGAGGTGATGGAGGAGGTGATGAGGAGGTGATGGAGGAGGTGATGGGGGAGGTGATGGAGGAGGTGATGGAGGAGGTGATGGAGGAGGTGATGGAGGAGGTCCTTGTGTCCTCCTGTAGGAGACACAAGGACACCAGCCGGTCCACCTTCTCCTGTAGGAGACACCAGGACACCAGCCGGTCCACCTCCTCCTGTAGGAGACACCAGGACACCAGCCGGTCCACCTCCTCCTGTAGGAGACACCAGGACACCAGCCGGTCCACCTCCTCCTGTAGGAGACACCAGGACACCAGCCGGTCCACCTCCTCCTGTAGGAGACACCAGGACACCAGCCGGTCCACCTCCTCCTGTAGGAGACACCAGGACACCAGCCAGTCCACCTCCTCCTGTAGGAGACACCAGGACACCAGCCGGTCCACCTCCTCCTGTAGGAGACACCAGGACACCAGCCGGTCCACCTCCTCCTGTGGGGCTGTTGTATTTATAATCCGAGAGTCCGAGACATTTTTCCCCAGACGCACTCGCTGCTTCCTGTCCGTCAGGAAGTCAGTGATCCACCTGCAGGTGGAATCGGGCACGTTGAGCTGGGAGAGCTTGTCCTGGAGCAGGGATGGCAGGATTGTGTTGAAGGCAGAGCTGAAGTCCACGAACAGGACCCTGGCGTAGGTCCCCGGGGAGTCCAGGTGCTGTAGGATGTGGTGGAGGGCCAGGTTGATGGCGTCGTCTACAGATCTGTTGGCTCTGTAGGCGAACTGCAGGGGGTCCAGGAGGGGGGAGGTGAAGGACTTGAGATGGGAGAGAACCAGGCGTTCAAATGACTTCATGACGACAGACGTAAGTGCTACAGGTTTGTAGTCATTGAGTCCTGTGATCCTGGGCTTCTTCGGGACGGGGACAATGATGGAGGATTTGAAGCAGGCCGGGACATGGCAGGACTGCAGAGAGGAGTTGAAAATGTCCGTGAACACAGGAGTAAGCTCACTGGCGCAGTGTCTCAGAGTGGCCGGAGACACGTGGTCCGGGCCAGGAGCTTTGCGGGGGTGCAGCCTCAGGAAGAGTTGTTTAATCTCTTTAGAGGCTATTGTTAGGCTGGGGGCAGGGCTGATGGGTGGGTCGTTAGAGTAGTGGGGGGTGGGGGAGGGAGAGGTGTCAGGGGCAGCATCAAAGCGACTGAAAAATAAGTTCAGATCGTCAGCTAGCTTGTGGTCGTCAGCACAGGGGGGGGCTTTGGGTTTGTAGTTGGTGATCTCCCGTAGGCCCCTCCAGACAGAAGCAGTATCGTTGTTACCAAACTGCTCCTGAAGTCGTTCTCTGTGCCGGGACTTGGCTGCTTTCAGTTCTTTCCTGAACTGATATTTAGCTGCTTTGTAGCCGCTGCGGTCCCCCTCCCTGAAAGCAGACTCCTTTGCTTTCCTGAGCTGCCGGAGTTTAGCAGTGAACCAGGGTTTGTCGTTGTTATAGATGACCCTGGTCCTTGTTGGAATGATGCTATCCTCACAGAAGTGGATGTATGACGTCACAGTGTCCGTATATTCATCCAAACTATCTGTGGCAGCTCTGAAAAGGTCCCAGTCTGTAGATTCCATGCATGCAGCTCTTCCACAGCTTCATCAGACCACACTTTGGAGCTCCTCACTGCAGGTTTCGAGAGCTTTAGTCTCTGTCTGTAAGCAGGAACCAGATGTATCATGGAGTGATCTGAGAAGCCGAGGGCTGGCTTGGGAACAGCGCGAAAAGCTCCGCGCACGGTGGTGTAACAGTGATCCAGAGTGTTCTCCTCTCTGGTCGGGCATTTGATAAACTGTCTGTATTTGGGTAATTCCTGGCTCAAGTTTCCCTTATTAAAATCCCCCAGGATAATAATCAGAGAGTCCGGGTATAAGCGTTCCATACACAGTACTTGCTCTGCGTCCGCGCATGGCGGTATGTAAACAGAGGCAAGAATGAATGAAACAATTTTGCGCGGGGAGTAATATGGTTTACAATGAATGAAAAGATATTCCAGAGCAGGAGAGCAGTGCTTGGAGATCACTGTCACATCGTTACACCAGTTTGTATTGACGTAGAAACACAGCCCTCCGCCTCTGCTCTTCCCTGAGAGCGCACAATGGCGATCCGTGTGGAACAGCCCAAAGCCCTGCAGCTCCAGAGCGCAGTCCGGGATCCGCTCATTTAGCCAGGTCAAGCCAGCCAATTTGTGATCTGATACGTATGCTAACATTAGCATTAGCGCAACTTAAGCTGTACAACAATCACTGATGAAATGGTACAAAAGCAACGCACTGCTAACACAATATACAACTGAAAGATTACGCTAGTTTCACGTCCGAATGTATTCATTTAAACATTAGAATATATTATAATATTTAATTATAATTTATTGTACAGCTCCTCACAGCAGCAGAACACTCCATTGATTGATTTTTCAGAACGTTCTACCGATCATTTTTTCTTGATAACAAAACTCTCAAACCAATAATGACCGCTGCCCTTTGGCAACGCACTCTGTTTGTAATTCAGGTGTGTAAAATACTAACATTACTCTGCAAGTACAACAAGGCTTCAGCGCCTGTCATTAGCTCCTGTGGCTGCAGGTTTCGTCCGGAAGTTCAGTTTGCGGATGTCAAAAAGTGTAAATAAACATGTAAACAGTTTGTGTTGTTATATACAGATTATATTATTGATTTGTGCTCATATGTGTCAAGGTTTATTAGCCTCATCTCCGTGAGTCTTTGAACGCATCTGGGCGCTAGCTTCGTGGCTACTAAAACTATTTTTCTCTCTGAGCTCTTTTTCTGTCATTTCTCGTAATAAACCTTGACACATATGAGCATAAATCAATAATATAATCTGTGTATAACAACACAAACATTAAATTACAGATTATAAAACAACTCGTTTGTAGTAATAAGCATTTTTATGAACTCATTAGAAAATAAATCGGGAATAGCTTCTTCGAAACGTTTTCTTGAAATGGTTTTGAGTCGATCTGAGATGATCCTGTGTTTTTTAAATAAACTAAATTATACAAAAGAATTATGAGGTACAAACATTTTAACTTCATAAATTTATTTTCTTGCTGTTTGAAGTTTGAGGACGGTAAAGTTTGGACTGAGCCGCAACGAAAACATTTATTTTATGACCTTCGGCTTCATAAACCCACAGTGAGCAGCGCTTTATGACCCGTTTACAGCCACAGATTAGATTATTATTATATTATTATATTTTTATTTTTAATGTCTTTATATAATAGACATTTATGTGTTTATTAAAATCATGTTTATTATAATTATGTGTTAAAAGAACCCGTCTCAGGTCTGTGTGAGAAACCTACCTGCTGACAGCACAGCGCAGGCCCCTCATGTCCGGGCGCTGGAGGGTGGGTCGTCTCTCTCCCCCTCTCTCTCCCCCTCTCTCTCCCCCTCTCTCTCCCCCTCTCCCTCTCTCCCCCTCTCTCTCTCTCACCCCTCTCTCCCCCTCTCACCCCTCTCTCCCCCTCTCTCCACCCCTCTCTCTCCCCCCTCTCTCCCCCCCCCTCTCTCCCCCCCCTCTCTCTCACCCTCTCTCCCCCTCTCTCTCTCTCCCCCTCTCTCCCCCCTCTCTCTCCCCCCTCTCCCCCTCTCTCTCCCCCCCTCTCTCTCCCTCTCTCCCCCTCTCTCTCTCTCACCCCTCTCTCCCCCCCTCTCTCACCCCTCTCTCTCCCCTCTCTCTCCCCCCCCTCTCTCTCTCACCCCTCTCTCCCCCTCTCTCTCTCTCTCCCTCTCTCCCCCTCTCTCTCCCCCCCTCTCTCTCTCACCCCTCTCTCCCCCTCTCTCTCTCTCACCCCTCTCTCCCCTCACTCTTCTCCGTGACCTGCACAAAAGAGTGATGTTGGTTCAGGGTTAATCATTGATTGAAGCCGCAGCCGCAGCCGCAGCCGCCTCTGGGGCAGCGAAAGACCATAAATCACAATAACTGGTACTCAGGGTTACGGACTTCATCAGTGTGTTTGTCTATGGATCAGGGAGAGCTCGGGGTGGAGGAGGGAGCAGCCGGAAATAACATTTAATACACTCATGTCTCACTATGTTCAATGGTGTCAATACTAAACATAAAGAACAAAGAGAGAGACCAGAGAGAGACCAGAGAGAGAGACCAGTGAGAGAGACCAGTGAGAGAGACCAGTGAGAGACACCAGAGCGACTGGAGAGAGAGACCAGAGAGAGACTAGTGAGAGAGACCAGAGAGAGAGAGATCAGACAGACTGGAGAGAGAGACCAGAGAGAGACCAGAGAGAGACCAGAGAGAGACCAGAGAGAGAGACCAGAGAGAGAGACCAGAGAGAGAGACCAGTGAGAGAGACCAGTGAGAGAGACCAGTGAGAGAGACCAGAGCGACTGGAGAGAGAGACCAGAGAGAGACTAGTGAGAGAGACCAGAGAGAGAGATCAGACAGACTGGAGAGAGAGACCAGAGAGAGACCACAGAGAGAGAGAGACCAGAGAGAGAGACCAGAGCGACTGGAGAGAGAGACCAGAGAGAGACCAGAGAGAGAGACCAGAGAGAGACCAGAGAGAGAGACCAGTGAGAGAGACCAGAGCGACTGGAGAGAGAGACCAGAGAGAGACCACAGAGAGAGAGAGACCAGAGAGAGACCAGAGAGAGAGACCAGAGCGACTGGAGAGAGAGACCAGAGAGAGAGAGACCAGAGAGAGAGACCAGTGAGAGAGACCAGAGCGACTGGAGAGAGACCAGAGAGAGACTAGTGAGAGAGACCAGAGAGAGAGAGAGACCAGAGAGAGACCAGAGAGAGACTAGTGAGAGAGACCAGAGAGAGAGAGAGACCAGAGAGAGACCAGAGAGAGAGACCAGAGAGAGACCACAGAGAGAGAGAGACCAGAGAGAGACCAGAGAGAGAGACCAGAGCGACTGGAGAGAGAGACCAGAGAGAGACCAGAGAGAGACCAGAGAGAGACCAGTGAGAGAGACCAGAGAGAGACCAGAGAGAGAGACCCCTCAGTCCCAGCGTATATGAACGTAAAGAAAAAGCACAAACATCTCTGCTTCGGGATCAGATTGAGCACATTCCGCTGCATCAGTGAGAATAAATCATGACAGTATTAGTTTATCTCAGGCCTTTTAGAAACCACACAAACCACCGTTATCTGGTTCTGTGATGGACGCGGTCAGACGCTGCATTCCTCTGATGCTTAAACATGACTTTTATCTTCTTTCGAACGTGTAAAACAGAGTCTTACCTGGACATGAACCGCGCAGCGACATCCTGGACTCAGTTTTACGGAGAAATGAAGCAAGATTCGGATCAAATGCGAGAGGTTTGTCCCAAAGAGGCAGAGACAGAGCAGCCCCAGCCTCCGCCACGACAGCCAATCACAGGCCGAGGCAGAGCGCTCCACTTCCGGGTTCAATAATAACAGAATAAATTATCGATTAAACTTTATTGATCTGACAATGGAGAAATGTGCATGTTATATTTGGCTTCAATCATGTCACTCAGGATGTGCAAATAGGAAGTATGTAGTTAAATGGTAAAAAATAAGTGAGTTAGCGCAAAGTTTGCAGTCCCAGCGCAGGACGTCAACACGTGACTTGTTGTACAGTCTGACAGCAGTGTGGATGAAGGCCTTGCAGGCTCCTGTGCAGTGGCAGGTGTTCATGATGGAGCTACACCCCCATGTGCTTCACCTCCTCCACAGGGTCCACAGGCAGCACAGCACACTCACGTCTGGAACAGTCTTCCTGAAAATGTGAGACAGGCTTCTCTGACGATGCTCAAATCCAGGTTTAAAGCAGTTCTGTTTCTGCTACACTGAATGCGTATGTATCTATATTGTTGGTAATTCATGGTTCAAAGGAGTTTAATGTTTCTGTACAAACACACAGGACTTGCCTAAAAGTATTGTAATCATTGCCTTACTCGAGTAACGATGCATTTTTGTTGAATAATTGATAATGTATGTATTTATGAGCCTAACGTTCATAACATTAGTTCATATCAGTCTCTGTCTAAAGTCTGCAGAGAAACTTCCATCTTGTTTTGTGCAGTACTTTGAACAAACCGAACAGGAAGTACACACACCATCTTATCTTGATTTAGCAGCGGCTGATGTTGGGCCAGATATTGTGTGAAAGACAAAACAGAGAAAACTAAAACAGGATTTTAAAATGAATAAACACTGAAGAAAATGCCAATGATTTTCACTTGAGTTTATTATAATAAAATACATCATTTACAGACAACAGAAGAAACAGCAGGTTCCACAGAGTCGCAGTTTCAGGCCTTTGTCAGAGAGGACCAGAGAGGACCAGAGAGAGACCAGAGAAAGAGACCAGAGAGAGACCAGAGAGAGACCAAAGAGAGACCAGAGAGAGACCAGAGAGAGACCAGAGAGAGACCAAAGAGAGACCAGAGACCAGAGAGAGACCAGAGAGAGACCGAAGAGAGACCGAAGAGAGACCAGAGAGAGACCAGAGAGAGAGACCAGAGAGAGACCGAAGAGAGAGACCAGAGAGAGACCGAAGAGAGACCAGAGAGAGACCGAAGAGAGAGACCAGAGAGAGACCGAAGAGAGAGACCAGAGAGAGACCAGAGAGAGACCGAAGAGAGACCAGAGGGAGACCAGAGAGAGACCAGAGAGAGACCAGAGAGAGACCAGAGAGAGACCAGAGAGAGACCAGAGAGAGACCAGAGAGAGACCAGAGAGAGACCGAAGAGAGACCAGAGAGAGACCAGAGAGGACCAGAGAGAGAGACCAGAGAGAGACCAAAGAGAGACCAGAGAGAGACCAAAGAGAGACCAGAGAGAGACCAGAGAGGACCAGAGAGAGAGACCAGAGAGAGACCAGAGAGAGACCAGAGAGGACCAGAGAGAGACCAGAGAGAGACCGAAGAGAGACCAGAGAGAGACCGAAGAGAGACCAGAGAGAGAGAGAGAGACCAGAGAGAGACCAGAGAGAGAAAGAGAGACCAGAGAGAGACCAGAGAGAGACCAGAGAGAGAGACCAGAGAGAGACCGAAGAGAGACCAGAGAGAGAGACCAGAGAGACCAGAGAGAGAGACCGAAGAGAGACCAGAGAGAGAGACCAGAGGGAGTCCAGAGAGAGAGACCGAAGAGAGAGACCAGAGAGAGACCAGAGAGAGAGACCAGAGAGAGAGACCAGAGAGACCAGAGAGAGACCGAAGAGAGAGACCAGAGAGACCAGAGAGAGACCAGAGAGAGACCACAGAGAGAGACCAGAGAGAGAGACCGAAGAGAGAGACCAGAGAGAGAGACCGAAGAGAGAGACCGGAGAGAGACCAAAGAGACGAGAAAGAGAGACCACAGAGAGAGACCAGAGAGAGAGACCAGAGAAAGAGACCAGAGAGAGAGACCAGAGAGAGACCAGAGAGTTCAGAGAGAGACCAGAGAGAGTTCTCAGAGAGACCAGAGAGAGACCAGAGAGAGACCAGAGAGAGACCAGAGAGAGAGACCAGAGAGAGTTCAGAGAGAGACCAGAGAGACCAGAGAGAGACCAGAGAGAGACCAGAGAGAGACCAGAGAGACCAGAGAGAGACCAGAGAGAGTTCAGAGAGAGACCAGAGAGAGACCAGAGAGAGAGACCAGAGAGAGTTCTGAGAGAGACCAGAGAGACCAGAGAGAGACCAGAGAGAGACCAGAGAGAGACCAGAGAGAGACCAGAGAGAGTTCAGAGAGAGACAAGAGAGAGACCAGAGAGAGACCAGAGAGAGAGACCAGAGAGTTCAAAGAAAGAGAGACCAATTCTATTCTCTCCAGGAACATTTCAGTCCGTTTTAAACAGAGCCGTTTATTGGAGAGGTTGTTTTAGTTCAAATATTCCGGTTCCACCTTTGACGACTTTCCCGACCACGAGACACGCAGACGGCGAGTCCAGCTGATCGCGGGCGCCTAAAACACACAAGACCACAGTCAAATATGATAATAAAATCACTTTATTACCGGGGGATGCAAATATATTCAAATGCCGACCTCGACTTCCTTTTTATATGAGGAACCGACGCAACGAGACTTGACCTCAAAGTTTAAAAATAGTTTAATGTCCACAAGACCACAGCCACTTTCACAGCTTTTAAAGAGTGCAGCAGAAAACATGTACAATTTTTTTGCAAATGTATTCCAATGTAGTTTTTATACTGCACATGGCCAATAAATGAATCTGAATCTGAAGTGGTAAGTCTGAAGCTGGTCTGCTGAGGACAAACTATTATTCTGTCGGGTTTCTCCGTCACATCTGTTCCAGGGGTCAAGATAATTTTGTGCAGCTCAAAAACCTTAAAGGAGACTATAATGAACCGGTTTAGACTGGTTTTGTCTGCATTAAAGTCAAATCCAGATAAAAACAGTTTTTTTTTATGATGTAATTGCTTCTTATCTTGGTTTGTTCAGCTCTTTGAGTTTTTCCGTCTGTGTGAACTGTGCGATACAAATAAGCTTGTTTAAAGTGCGTGTTAAATTACAGGTGTCATAGAAAACACAAGTGATTTTCCGCAAAGTGGGATGAATAAAGTTTCTGGATCTGAATCGGTAATTTGTTCTGAAGCAAGGAAGTAAGGAAGCAAGTCAGGAATCAAGGAAGTAAGGAAGTAAGGAAGTGAGGAAGCAATGAAGTAAGGAAGGAGGTATTGAAGCAAGTAAGGAAGTATGGAAGGAGGTATGGAAGCAAGTAAGGAATCAAGGAAGTATGGAAGCAAGTAAGGAATCAAGGAAGTATGGAAGGAGGTATGGAAGCAAGTAAGGAATCAAGGAAGTAAGGAAGGAGGTATGGAAGCAAGTAAGGAATCAAGGAAGTATGGAAGGAGGTATGGAAGCAAGTAAGGAATCAAGGAAGTAAGGAAGGAGGTATGAAAGCAAGTAAGGAATCAAGGAAGTAAGGAAGGAGATAAGGAAACAAGTAAGGAAGCAAGTAAGTAAGGAAGGAGGTATGGAAGCAAGTAAGGAATCAAGGAAGTAAGGAAGGAGGTATGGAAGCAAGTAAGGAATCAAGGAAGTAAGGAAGGAGGTATGGAAGCAAGTAAGGAATCAAGTAAGTAAGGAATCAAGGAAGTATGGAAGGAGGTAAGAAAGCAAGGAAGTAAGGAAGGAGGTATGGAAGCAAGTAAGGAAGCAAGGAAGTATGAAGGAGATAAGGAAGCAAGTAAGGAAGGAGGTATGGAAGCAAGTAAGGAATCAAGGAAGTATGGAAGGAGATAAGGAAGCAAGTAAGGAAGCAAGGAAGTAAGGAAGGAGGTATGGAAGCAAGTAAGGAATCAAGTAAGGAATCAAGGAAGTAAGGAAGGAGGTATGGAAGCAAGTAAGGAATCAAGGAAGTATGGAAGGAGATAAGGAAGCAAGTAAGGAAGCAAGGCAGTAAGGAAGGAGGTATGGAAGCAAGTAAGGAATCAAGGAAGTAAGGAAGGAGGTATGGAAGCAAGTAAGGAAGCAAGGAAGTATGGAAGGAGATAAGGAAGCAAGTAAGGAAGCAAGGAAGTAAGGAAGGAGGTATGGAAGCAAGTAAGGAAGCAAGGAAGTATGGAAGGAGATAAGGAAGCAAGGAAGTAAGGAAGGAGGTAAGGAAGCAAGTAAGGAAGCAAGGAAGTAAGGAAGGAGTTTTATTTTTGTCTTTTAATGTTGTTTTGAGTCTGTACTTGTCCTGTGCACACTGGGAACTTTTACTAATGTATTCCAATGTAGTGTTACTGCAAATGGCGAATAAAATGAATCTGAATCTGGAGGTATGGAAGCAAGTAAGGAAGCAAGGAAGTAATGAAGGAGGTATGGAAGCAAGTAAGGAAGCAAGGAAGTATGGAAGGAGGTATGGAAGCAAGTAAGGAAGCAAAGAAGTAAGGAAGGAGGTATGGAAGCAAGTAAGGAAGCAAGGAAGTATGGAAGGAGGTATGGAAGCAAGTAAGGAAGCAAGGAAGTATGGAAGGAGGTATGGAAGCAAGTAAGGAAGCAAAGAAGTAAGGAAGGAGGTATGGAAGCAAGTAAGGAAGCAAGGAAGTAATGAAGGAGGTATGGAAGCAAGTAAGGAAGCAAGGAAGTATGGAAGGAGGTATGGAAGCAAGTAAGGAAGCAAAGAAGTAAGGAAGGAGGTATGGAAGCAAGTAAGGAAGCAAAGAAGTAAGGAAGGAGGTATGGAAGCAAGTAAGGAAGCAAGTAATGGAGCAAGTAAGGAATCAAGGAAGGAGGTAAGGAAGCAAGTAAGGAATCAAGGAAGGAGGTAAGGAAGCAAGTAAGGAATTAAGGAAGTAAGGAAGTAAGGAAGGAGGTAAGGAAGCAAGTAAGGAAGCAAGGAAGTAAGGAAGGAGGTAAGGAAGCAAGTAAGGAATCAAGGAAGTAAGGAAGGAGGTATGGAAGCAAGTAAGGAAGTAAGGAATCAAGTAAGGAAGGAAGTAAGGAATCAAGTAAGGAACTAATGAAGGATGTATTAGTAGAGTACCGAGCATGGTGGCCTGTTTGAGGAACTAATGAAGGCAGTATTAGTAGAGTACCGAGCATGGTGGCCTGTTTGAGGAACTACTGAAGGCAGTATTAGTAGAGTACCGAGCATGGTGGCCTGTTTGAGGAACTACTGAAGGCAGTATTAGTAGAGTACCGAGCATGGTGGCCTGTTTGAGGAACTACTGAAGGCAGTATTAGTGGAGTACCGAGCATGGTGGCCTGTTTGAGGAACTACTGAAGGCAGTATTAGTAGAGTACCGAGCATGGTGGCCTGTTTGAGGAACTACTGAAGGATGTATTAGTAGAGTACCGAGCATGGTGGCCTGTTTGAGGAACTACTGAAGGCAGTATTAGTAGAGTACCGAGCATGGTGGCCTGTTTGAGGAACTACTGAAGGATGTATTAGTAGAGTACCGAGCATGGTGGCCTGTTTGAGGAACTACTGAAGGCAGTATTAGTAGAGTACCGAGCATGGTGGCCTGTTTGAGGAACTACTGAAGGATGTATTAGTAGAGTACCGAGCATGGTGGCCTGTTTGAGGAACTACTGAAGGCAGTATTAGTAGAGTACCGAGCATGGTGGCCTGTTTGAGGAACTTGAAGCTGGTCTCGAAGGTCATCTGCTGCAGCGGAGACGAGTTCGACTGAATGGCATTTCTGTTCAACGGTTTGTACTCTCCCTCAAAACACATGTAGTCTGCCACCAGAGAGAGGTGCCGGGGGTCCACCTCGATACCTGAGGGAGGGGGGGGGGGGGGGGGGGGGGGGGGGGGGGGAGAGGGAGATAGTCATTTGATCGTTTTTATTTTTACTTGTGCACTTATGTATTTTTGATCGTTTGTTTTAATCTATTTTAATTGTTTTCATTGTATCTTAATGTTATTTTTGATCATCTATATTTTTATCCATAAATCTGCCAGACCTGTGCACTGTGTGTTCATTCATACATACACATACACACATACATACACATACACACATACATACACACATACATACACATACACACATACATACACACATACATACACATACACACATAGATACACACATACATACACATACACACATACATACACATACACACATAGATACACACATGCATACACGTACACACATACATACACATACACACATAGATACACACATACATACACATACACACATAGATACACACATACATACACAGATACACACATGCATACACATACACACATACATACACATACACACATAGATACACACATGCATACACATACACACATACATACACATACACACATAGATACACACATACATACACATACACACATAGATACACACATACATACACATACACACATAGATACACACATACATACACATACACACATACATACACATACACACAGATACACACATACACACAGATACACACATACATATACATACACACATACACACATAGATACACACATACATACACATACATACATAGATACACACATACATACACATACACACATAGATACACACATACATACACACACACACATAGATACACACATACATACACATACACACATACATACACATACACACATACATACACATACACATACATACACACATACATACACACACACACACACATACATGCATACATTCTTGTGCTTCATGAACCTGGCCTGTAGGGGGCGCATGAGCAGAGATGGGACAGTTTTGCTCCCATTGAAAACCATGTAAAGTCTGTTTTTGAGTCAAAGGCTCTCCTCCTGTGTTGTTGGAACAGTCTTAAATCGGGGAAACTCAATTCTAAGGGAGGACTAAACAATATTTCTCAAAAGAGTCTTGATTTTGGGCCTTTAAAAAAATAAAAAATAAAAAAAAAATGAAGAAATTGCTGCGTTTCATTGGGGTGGCCTGCAGGGGGCGCTTATCTGGGAAAGCCTTGATCCACCTGTCCTCCTTTATATGAGACCACAGTTGGAACATGAACAAACTCTTGTCTTTCTCTCTCTGTGCGGTTGCTACAAGCGTACACCGCACAAAAAGATGGCGTTTTCTAACCCTTCTACTATATCTCTGTGTATAAACCGCTTCTTCTTCTACTATATCTCCGTGTATAAACCGCTTCTTCTTCTACTATATCTCTGTGTATAAACCGCTTCTTCTTCTACTATATCTCCGTGTATAAACCGCTTCTTCTTCTACTATATCTCCGTGTATAAACCGCTTCTTCTTCTACTATATCTCCGTGTATAAACCACTTCTTCTACTATATCTCCGTGTATAAACCACTTCTTCTACTATATCTCCGTGTATAAACCGCTTCTTCTTCTACTATATCTCTGTATATAAACCGCTTCTTCTTCTACTATATCTCCGTGTATAAACCGCTTCTTCTTCTACTATATCTCCATGTATAAACCACTTCTTCTTCTACTATATCTCCGTGTATAAACTGCTTCTGCTTCTACTATATCTCCGTGTATAAACCGCTTCTTCTTCTACTATATCTCCGTGTATAAACCGCTTCTTCTACTATATCTCCGTGTATAAACCGCTTCTTCTTCTACTATATCTCCGTGTATAAACCGCTTCTTCTTCTACTATATCTCTGTGTATAAACCGCTTCTTCTTCTACTATATCTCCGTGTATAAACCGCTTCTTCTTCTACTATATCTCCGTGTATAAACCGCTTCTTCTTCTACTATATCTCCGTGTATAAACCACTTCTTCTACTATATCTCCGTGTATAAACCACTTCTTCTACTATATCTCCGTGTATAAACCGCTTCTTCTTCTACTATATCTCTGTATATAAACCGCTTCTTCTTCTACTATATCTCCGTGTATAAACCGCTTCTTCTTCTACTATATCTCCATGTATAAACCACTTCTTCTTCTACTATATCTCCGTGTATAAACTGCTTCTGCTTCTACTATATCTCCGTGTATAAACCGCTTCTTCTTCTACTATATCTCCGTGTATAAACCGCTTCTTCTACTATATCTCCGTGTATAAACCGCTTCTTCTACTACTATATCTCCGTGTATAAACCGCTTCTTCTTCTACTATATCTCCGTGTATAAACCGCTTCTTCTACTATATCTCCGTGTATAAACCGCTTCTTCTTCTACTATATCTCCGTGTATAAACCGCTTCTTCTTCTACTATATCTCCGTGTATAAACCGCTTCTTCTACTATATCTCCGTGTATAAACCGCTTCTTCTTCTACTATATCTCCGTGTATAAACCGCTTCTTCTTCTACTATATCTCCGTGTATAAACCGCTTCTTCTACTATATCTCCGTGTATAAACCCGGTAGACTGCACCGCCAGGATACCTCACGTCCTGTCCTACGTTTGTTATTCACCACTGCCCTGACGTCATATGGAACTCAAGAATACACACACATACACAGTCACACACCCATACATACATACACACACACACTGAAATGAGTATGTGTGTGTCTCTGTGCAGCCCGTTGTAAACCTGTGCTATATACAGTGCCTTGCGAAAGTATTCGGCCCCCTAGAACCTTTCGCCACATTTCAGGCTTCAAACATAAAGATATAAAATTGTAATTTTTTGTCATGAATCAACAACAAGTGGGACACAATCGTGAAGTGGAACAAAATGTATTGGATAATTTAAACTTTTTTAACAAATAAAAAACTGAAAAGTGGGGCGTGCAATATTATTTGGCCCCTTTACTTTCAGTGCAGCAAACTCAGTCCAGAAGTTCAGTGAGGATCTTTGAATGATCCAATGTTGTCCTAAATGACTGATGATGATAAATAGAATGCACCAGAGTGTAATCAAGTCTCCGTATAAATGCACCTGCTCTTTGATAGTCTCAGGGTTCTGTTTAAAGCACAGAGAGAACCATGAAGACAAAGGAACACACCAGGCAGGTCCGAGATACTGTTGTGGAGAAGTTTAAAGCCGGATTTGGATACAAAAAAATTTCCCAAGCTTTAAACATCTCAAGGAGCACTGTGCAAGCAATTATATTGAAATGGAAGGAGTATCAGACCACTGCAAATCTACCAAGACCCGGCCGTCCCTCCAAACTTTCATCTCAAACAAGGAGAAGACTGATCAGAGATGCAGCCAAGAGGCCCATGATCACTCTGGATGAACTGCAGATAACTACAGCTGAGGTGGGAGAGTCTGTCCATAGGACAACAATCAGTCGTGCACTGCACAAATCTGGCCTTTATGGAAGAGTGGCAAGAAGAAAGCCATTTCTCAAAGATATCCATAAAAAGTCTCGTTTAAAGTTTGCCACAAGCCACCTGGGAGACACACCAAACATGTCGAAGAAGGTGCTCTGGTCAGATGAAACCAAAATCAAACTTTTTAGCCACAATGCAAAACGATATGTTTGGCGTAAAAGCAACACAGCTCATCACCCTGAACACACCATCCCCACTGTCAAACATGGTGGTGGCAGCATCATGCTTTGGGCCTGCTTTTCTTCAGCAGGGACAGGGAAGATGGCTAAAATTGATGGGAAGATGGATGGAGCCAAATACAGGACCATTCTGGAAGAAAACCTGTTGGAGTCTGCAAAAGACCTGAGACTGGGACGGAGATTTATCTTCCAACAGGACAATGATCCAAAACATAAAGCCAAATCTACAATGGAATGGTTCACAAATAGACGTATCCAGGTGTTAGAATGGCCAAGTCAAAGTCCAGACCTGAATCCAATCGAGAATCTGTGGAAAGAGCTGAAGACTGCTGTTCACAAACGCTCTCCATCCAACCTCACTGAGCTCCAGCTGTTTTGCAAGGAAGAATGGGCAAGAATTCCAGTCTCTCGATGTGCAAAACTGATAGAGACATACCCCAAGCGACTTGCAGCTGTAATTGCAGCAAAAGGTGGCGCTACAAAGTATTAGTGCAAGGGGCCGAATAATATTGCACGCCCCACTTTTCAGTTTTTTATTTGTTAAAAAAGTTTAAATTATCCAATACATTTTGTTCCACTTCACGATTGTGTCCCACTTGTTGTTGATTCTTGACAAAAAAAAAATAGTTTATATCTTTATGTTTGAAGCCTGAAATGTGGCGAAATGTTCCCCATACCCAACTTCCCACACAATACCACACACCAATATACCAACCACCACATATACACAACCAATTAAAACCAAAAACCCCACCCCATTACACCCACCCACATAAACCCCCCCCCATATCCCACCAACATACAACCTCCCATTAACCCACCATTACACACCTTTCACCACAAAATACCCCCCCCCCCCCACATTAACCCCCAACCACCTATCCCAACCCCCCTAACCCCCCCCCATCCCCACAAACCCCCCCCAATTCAACCCTAACAACCATTCCCACCCATCCCCCCCCCCACACATACCCCCACATTCCACACCCCCAAACCCACCCCCTACACACAATATCACCACAAAAACCCACACCCAACCCCCCACCCCCCAATTCCCCCCCAACCCCCAAACCTTCACTACACCCCCATAACCCCCCCAAACCCCCACCCCCCACCCACACCCCACACACCAAACACCCCCCCCCCCCCCACCCACCAACCCCCAATCCCCCCCCAAAAAACCCCACAAAACCCCCTAACCAACCCCCCCACCAACAAAACCCCCCAACACCACCCCCCCACCCCCCCCCCCACCCCCCCAACCCCCCCCCACCCACACCACCCACCCCACCCCAAAAACCCACCACCACCTCCCCCCCACCACCAAACAACCACTACCACACCCAAAACCTCCCCCCCCACCAAACCCCCCCCCACCCACCAACCCCCCCCCAAACACCAAAAACCCCCCCCCCCCCACCACCCACCCTCCCACCTCCCAACCCCCTCACCCACCCAACCCAAACATATTACCCCACCATATCCCCCCTACACCCCTCCATCCCCAAAAAACACCTCAACCCTCCAACTTACCAACAAAACCCCCCACTCCCCACTACAACCCAACACCTAACCCCCCTCATCCCCACCCCTACACCCCCAACCCCCCAAAACCCACCATCCCCCACTACAACTCCCCAAACCCCCACATAACCTCTACAACCCCACCCTATCCCCCACCCCATCCCCCACCCACAACTAATCCCCCATACCCCCCCCCCCCTTACCCCCCCCCACCCCCCCACACAACACCACCAAAACCCCCATACCTCCCCACCCATCCCAAAACAAAAATACTTCTCTTCCACCCCCCCCCCTCACAACCCACCCCCCCACCCCCACACCCCCCCCCCACACCCCCCCCCCAACCCACCCATAACCAACCCCCCCCAAACTCACCACAACTATTTACACACCCCACATATCCACACTCCCCACCCCCCCACCCAATCAACCTACACTTACCCACAAACATCCACCCCCCTAAATCCCCATACCCCCCCCCCCCCCCACCCCTAACCCTACCCCCCCCCTCCACCCCCCCTACATATACCCCCCCCCACAACACAACACACCAACCTACCCACCCCCCCCCCCCCCCCCTATCCCACAACCCCCCTAATCCACCAACACTCCACCCACCAACACCCCATCACACCCCCCCCCCCACCCACATCCCAACCCATACCACCCCCACCCCCATACCCCACCACACCCCATACTATCCCCCACAAACTCCATACCCCCCCCACACACCCCCTAAACACCACCTCATCACCCACTAACCCCACCCCCCCCCCCCCCCCTATCTACCTCTCAATCACCCCCCCACATAACACAACACCACCCCCCCCCACCCCCAATCATAACCCCCAACCCCCCAACCCCCCACCACCCCCACCCACCACCCCCCCCCCCCCCACTAAAACCCCCACCAACCCACCATACCCCACCCCCCCCCCTCCACACAACCCACCACACCTAACCCATATCCCACAAAACCCCCACCCACCCAAAATAAACACCTAAACCCAACATCACCCCCATACCCCCCCCACACTCAACCCCACAACATAAAAAACAACACCCCCCATACCCACAAACAATCCAATCCCCAAACTCCACACACACCCCAACCAACCCCCCCCTCCCACAACCACCCCCAACTCCCCCCCCCCCCCCCCCTACACCATCCACTCCCCATATCCCCATCCCATACACATACACTACATACCAATCACCCCCCACACCCCCCACAATACCCCCCACTACACCCCTACACCCCCACACCCCCCCCACAAACCAACCCCTACCCCCCCCCCCATCACACCCAATACCCCACATCTTAACCACCACCAACCCCCACCTACCCCCATCCACCCACCCCCCCCCAACCCATCCCCCCCCAACCCCCAAAATCCACCCCCCATACCACCCAATACCCCTCCCAAACAACCCATTCACCATCCCACACAATCTCCCCCCCCCATCACACCAACACCCCCCCCCCCCCCCTCCCCATCCCAAAACTCAACCCTCACCCCCCCTATATACCATACTCACCCCCCTACACCCCCAAATCACATACACCCCCCCCCCCCCCCCCCCCACCAACCCCCCCAACCCCCCCCCACCCCACCCACCTACCCCCCCCCCCACACACCCCCCACCACCACATACAACCCACACAACATCACATACCCCCCCCCATTACCCCCCATACTCTCCCCATAATTAAACCTTATTCATCACAAACATCCCCCCCCTCATCATACTCTCCCTCACCCCCCCCACCCACAATAACCCCTACCTCTCCCCACACACCACCACCCCACCCCCCACCCCCCCCCCCCCCCACATCACCACCCCCACCCCCCCCCCACCCCAAACCAATCAACCCCCCCAACCCACCCATCATCACCCCCCCCCCCACCCCCCAATCCCCACCCCCACAACCAACAACACCCAACCACCCCCACCATAACCCCCCCCCCACCCACAACATAATAATCAATTCCCACTCCCATAAACCCCCACACACCACCCCCCCTAACCACAAAAACACCCCCCCACCCACCCACCCCTACAATCCCCCCCCCAACCCCCCCAAAAATTCCCCCCCCACCCCCATCCTCCCCTCACACCACTACACCAAACAAACCCCCCCACCCCCCCCCTCCCCCAACACCCCCTAACACAAACAAACAAATACCAAATCCAATAAAACAACACTACATAACCACAACCCAAACATCAACCAAACCCAAACCCAACCCACCAAAACCCCCCACCCACCCACCCCCCCCCCCCCCCACCCCCCCCCCACCCCCCCCCCCCCCCCACCCCCCACCCCCCCCCCCCCCCCCCCCCCCCCCCCCCCCCCCCAACCACCCCCCCCCCCCCCCCCCCACCCCCCCCCCCCCCCCCCCCCCACCCCCCCCCCCCCCCCCCCCCCCCCCCCCCCCCCACCCCCCCCACCCCCCCAACCCCCCCAACCCCCCCCCCCCCACACCCCCCACCCCCCCCCCCCCCACCACCCCACCCCCACCCCCCCACCCCCACCCACCCACCCCCCCCCCCCCCCACACCCCCCACCCCCCCCCCCCCACACCCCCCCACCCCCACCCCCCCACCCCACCACCCCAACCCCCCAAACCATCAACCCCCCCATACCCCCCCCCCACCAACTACCCACTTAAAACCACCCATCACCACTAACCCCAAATAAAACCAACCCCCCCCCCATCCATACACACACATACATTCCTTCACTATACTCCCCCCCCATACCAAACCCATACCCCAAACACACAAACCAAAACACCCCAACCCATATCCACCCCCACACCCCTAACCATCACACACCCACCCCATCAACAACCCAATCCCCAACCCCACCCCCCCAACCACCACCCCAAAAACACACACCAAAACCCCCCCCCCTCCTACCCCACACCCCCCCCCAACAACTACCTCAATCCACACCCCCCCCATACCCCCCCCCCACCCCCCCCCTCCCTACCAATACAAACCCAACCCATCCAACCCCCCCCTCACCCACAACCCACACACTAACCCCACCCCACCATCCAACCCCACCCCCACCCCCCCCCCCCCTACCCCACAACTCACCCACCCCAACCCCCCCCACCAACCCACACACCCCCACCCCCCCCAAATCCCCAACACACCCCCCACCCCCACCCCCATCACCACCCAACCCCCCCCCAAACACCAACCCCCTCCATACCCCACACCCACCAATCCCACCCCCCCACCAACATTCCCTACCCCCCCCCCCTCCCCCCCCCACCCATACTAAAAAAATTCAACACCCAAAAACCCAATACACCCCACACACTACCCCACACCAACACAACCAACAACTTAACCCCAACAATACCCACACACACCCATCCACCATTACACACCTACACCCAATTACACCACAATCACCACACACCCCCCCCCAACACCCCAACCCCACAACCCACCCCTACCCCCCACCCACCACCAACAATCCCCCCCACCCCCATACCCAATAAATACCAACACCCCTCAATACACATCTTACCATCCAACACCTCATAAATTTCCCTCCTCATTAACCCACTCAACTCTAATAACCTCTATACCCCCCAACCCCCCCACCCACTCCCCTAACTCCCCTACATCCCCCCACACCCCCACTACCACCAACTACAACCCTTCTCCTTCCTTCCCTCAATCCCCCCCACAAACTATCCTTATCCCTTACACATCCCCCCCCCCCCCCCCCCCCCCCCCATCCCACCACCCAACATCCTACCCCCCCCCCCCCCCCCCCAACACCCAACACCCACACCCCCACCACCACAACCCTATACAATCCCAATCCACCTTATAACAATTCTAATCACCACTCCCCCATCCCATACCTTATACATCCCCCACCCCCCACACTCATCTCATCTCCCCCCTCCCTCATCACCTCCCTCTCTACCCCTCTTATCCCCCTACTTCTCTCACTCTAATATCCCCAACAACACCTATCTCTCATCCCTATCACTCCCCTCACTCTATACTCTCTCTCTCTCCATCCTACTAACTTCCCTCCCCTTCTCACCCCCCCTCTATCCCCCCCCTCCTATCCCTCTCCCATCTTCTCCCACTCTTCTCCTACCCTCATACCCCCTCCCTCTCTCATCTCTCTTCTTACCCCTCCCATATCACTACTCACCCCCCTAAACCCCCTAAACCAACTCCAATCCCTCACACATATACCCCAATCTACCTCTAACTTACATCTAACACCAAAACCCCACCCCCCCCAATCCCCACCCCACACACCTCCCCCAAACCCCCATCTCCTATAACCCTAAACCCATATACCCACACCCCACCAACACTCATCCCCCTCTCCCCACTACAACAACCCCACACTTCACCCCCCCCCTAAATACCCCCCATTAAACCCCCTATTAACCCCATACCCCACCCCCCCCCCCCCCACACAAACAAAAATACCTACCCCCCCCCCCCCCAACCCCACCCCCCCACCTCACCTCCCCACCCCCCACCCCCCAAAATTACCCCCCCCCCCCTCACATTCCTCCCTCCCCATCCACCCATAAAAATTATTCCCAAACCCACACCACCCTAAACACCCCCTTCCCCTCTCACATCCCTCTCACACCCCCATCATCATCATCTCCCTCTCCTATCATCTCCCTCTATCTCTCCTCTACTCTTTTCACCTACTCTCACCCCTCTCTCCCATACCCCTCTCTTCACTCCCTCTCACTCTCCCCAAATACTCTCTCTCCCCCCTCTCCCTCACCCCTACTTCTCTTCCCCCCACTAACTCCCCCCACTAACCACTTAACTCCCCCACCTCACCCCCCACCCCCCACAACACTAATTTCCATTACATCATCTCTCCACCCCCTCCTCTTCCCTTCATCCCCTATATCCTAATCCTAACCCTTCACCTTCCAATTATCCACTTCACCCAACCTCACCCATAAACCCCAACCTATATCATATCACCCCCCTTCTTAACTACTTTCTCTCTCCTCCTCCCTATTCTTCCTCCCCCCCCTACATCCTATAAAAATTATTCATCCCCAACCCACAAATATACACACAACCACCCCCATCCCACCCACACCCCCCCCCCTAACACCCCTTAACCCATCCCCACCATCATTACCCCACCCCCCCCCCCACCCCAACCCCTCCATTATTTACCATTCCCTAACCTCTCTCCTACATCCCCCACCCCCCAATAACCCACCATACCAACACACCCCCCATAAACCCCTATATTTAATATACTCCAATCACCAACATCACCCCCAACATAAATTTAAACCCCAACCTCTCTAACATAAAATAATTCAACCTCCACTCCGCCTCATCTACTTTCCCACACTACCACCCCAACCCCCCACACACACCCCACCCACCCCCCCCTCCATCTAACACCCAAATTCTCCTTATAATTACAACCAATACTCCTATATCCCCCCTATCTCACCCCCCCATTAAACAAATATCACACAACCACCACAACCCCCACCCCATAACAAACCCCACCCATCATCCCTAAACATAACACACCAAACCCCCTATTACCATCATACCCCCCACCCCCCAACATACACACCCCCCCCCCCCTCCACCCCACCCCTCCCCCCCACTACATACTCCCCCACCCCCACACCATCCCCTCCCCCTCCCCCAATCCTAACCCCCTATTCATCCCCCCAAAATTCCCTCCTCCTAACAACACTCATCCCAACCCCCCCCCCCCCACCTTCACCACCCATCCCCCCCCCATCTTTCCATCTCCTCCCACTTCCCCCATCCCCAAACCCCCTATCTTCCTATCTACACTCACCCACACCTACTACATCCACTCCATCCCTCACCCCTCCCATCCTACCACCATTCCCAAATATAAAAACTCTACTTTAAAACCAAAACCTAAACCTCACACCCCCCCAACCCCCACATACCCCACCACCCCCACCCCCCCACCACAATCCCACCATATCAATATACATCCACCCCAACCCTATCCATTTTAACAACATAAATTCAAAAACATATAACCCCCCCCACCACCCTACCCCAACAACATACACACATTCACCCCCCACCCCAAATAAAACCATTACCCCACCAAAACACACCAACCACCCCACACATCACCCCACCACCCACCAACCCTTACCACCAACAAATTAAACCCACCCCCATTCCCCCACAAATACCACCCCCATATCAAACTTACACAAACCCTACCCACCTCCCACCATCTAAATCCCACCCCCACACCCCAACTCACTTCATACAAACACCACTCCAATAACTATCTCTAAACATCCACAATCTTATTATCTCCCTCCACACCCCCTACTCACCCACTACCCTACTCCTACCACCCCTCACTTCATCCCAACATCCCCCCCCACACCTCTACCCTCCCCCCCCCCCCCCCCCACAACCATACCTCTACTTCCCCCACCAATCCCCCCCCTACCACCCCCCCCCCCCCAAACCCCCTCCACCCCTCCAATCTCCCTCACAACCCCCTACCCCTTATCATATTTACCCCCATCACCCACACCTCATTATAAATACCCCCCCCCCCCTATACTTCCACCCCCCTCTCATTCTTCTCTCATCACCATACCCCACAACCCCACATCCCCCCTCCACCCCACACATTCCAACCCATAAACCCAACCCCGCTCCCACCCCCCCACACCCTCTCCCCCCCCCCCCCCCCATCCCCCCTCTCATCCTCTCATCTCACCATCAAATACTACCCTTTATCACATACCCTAAAAAAACCATCCCATACCCTCCCCCCACCTAAATCTTCTCCTCCTTAACCATCTCCCCCCCCCACCCCCACCTAAACCCCCCCCAACCCCACCCACACTCCCCCCTACATACATACTCTTCTCTCTCCCCTCCCTCTCTCCTCCCCCCATCTCTCCCCCCCACTTCTCATCTACTCTCATACCCCCTACTTTCACTACTACACTCCTCTCCTCAACCCTCACATTCCTCCCCCACTCTCACCTCTCTCTCCCCCCTCTCTCCCCATACTCTTCCCTTCCCCCCACCTCCTCTCTCTTCCCCCCCTCTTCTCAACAATCCCACTACTCACTACATCTCTCTCTCACTCTACTACCACCTCCCTTATTCTCACCCCCTCTACTATACCAATCCTCTTCACTAACTCCTCTTCATCATTACTACCTCTCTCCCTCCCCCCCCTTCTTCTCTCTCACTCTACTTCTCCCCCAATCTCCCACCCCTCTCTCCTCTCTCATCTCTCTCCTCAACCACTCTCATCACTCTCCCACCTCTCTCCATCCTCCATCACATCCCCCCACACTCATCTCCCCCCCCATCTCATCCACATCTCTCACACATCCCCCTACTCTCTTCTCTCTCCCCTTCATCTCTCTACACACTCACCATCACCCTCCCCACCCCCCCCATAAATCACCACCCCCCACCCCACCAACCACCCCCCCACACCCCTCACATACACCCCAGCCCCATACCCACAAACCCCACCAATCCCACAACCTAAATACTAACAACTCCATATCCCATCCTCAAACACACACCCTTATCCACCCCCCCCCTACCCACTCCCCCCCACCAAATATTCCCCCCTACATCCCCCCCCCTCAATATTTCCAAACCCCCTATCCCCCCCCACCCTATCTCTAAATCCCCCCCAACCCTCACCTCCTCCCCTTCAATATTCATCTTTCTCCCTTTACCACACTACCCTCCCTACCCACATACAACCCCCCAACTTACTCCACCTCCCCCCCCCAAAACCCCCCAACCTTCCATATCATCCACCCCCCCAACATTAACCCCCCCACACAAACACCCCACCCCCTATATCCCCTCTCTCTCCCCACACCACACAAAACCACACCCCTAACAAATAATAATACTCTCTCACAACACAAAACGAACACACACCCACCCCCCTAAAACCCCCCCTACCCCCCAAAATTACACCCCCCCACCATCCCATTCCTCCCTCTTCTTACACCTCCACACTCACTATCCCCCCCCCCCAAAAACACCCCCCCACCAACCTTCCACTACCCCCCCCCCCTCCAACACCCCTACTCAATCATCCTTTACCCCCCTCTAACAATTACTTAATATCAACCCCTATATTAAAACAACACAAAAACCCCCCCAACAACCACAAACCTCTATCATAAAATCAACCATCACCTCCCACAAATCTCCTACCCCCACCCCCCTTCCCACCCCCTCACTATCCAAACCCACATACCCCCCCCCTCCCCCCACTCACACAACTACACCAAACACCCCCCCCCTCCCACACTCTCAACACCAACCAATCCCCCCCCCATCAAAACCAAAACCTAAACCACATTACACCCACCACCCAATCACACACCCAAAATTAAACCACACCATAACCCAACCACCCCCACCACTAACACACCCAAATAAACCAATTCCAACCAAACACCCCCCACATACCAACCACAACCCCCCAAATACCCACAAACCCACAACACAATCCCCACACCACACCACCCATATACACCACCCAATACCCACCCCCCCACTATCAACAACAACACACCATAAACCACACCCACTACCCAAAACACACATTCCACAATATATCAACACCCTAACACAAACTACCACACAAACCACCAACCCAAAATACACCACACACCATCCCCAACACTTACACAAACACAACTAACACAAATTACAACACCCACACACCAATTAAAACAATTCCACACAAAAAACAACAACTACATCCCCAAACAAAACCCCCCCTTACCCACATAACCAACCAACAAATACAACTTCCACCCCATTCCACCCCCTAACAACATCCCCACCTCAACCCTCAAAAACAAACCCAAACATCCCACAATCAATAACCCAACACAACATACCCCCACCACCACCCCTCACATCTATCACCCCCCCCCCCAATCCCCCCCCAAACCCTCTATTTCCCACCCCACCCCACCCACCACAACAATAAAAACCCCTCTAACATAATCTATAAACCCAATATACACCACATCCATCCCCAATTCCTCCCCCCACCTCATCTACTCTCTCTAAACTCTAAACCCTCAACCCACACCCCCCCATATTTAATCCCATATCCCCCCCCCCCCCTCTCTCTTATTCTTCCCCACCTTCCCAACCATCCCCCTAACTATTCTTCTTAATCCATTTATCTCATCTCATATACTTTCAAACTCACATACCAACAATCCAATCAACAACCCCCTATACCCCCCTTCCAAAAACTCACCCCTTACAACCTCATATTCTACCCATCCACCTCAAACCCCCCCCCACCTTCCTCCCCCCCCCCCCCCTACCCCAACACCAACCAACAACCCCCCTACCCAACCACACCACCCACATAAACTTACTTCCCCTACACCGTATCTCCACCTCTCCCATCCCTCTCCCTCTCTCTCCCCTCTTCCCCTCACTTTCCCCTCTCATCTCTCCCTCCCTCTCCTTTCCTCCACTCTCTTCTCTCCTCTCTCTCTCTCATTCCCCTTTCTTTTCCTCTCTCTTATCCCCCTCTCTCTTCTCTCTTTCCTCTTTTTCTCTTTTCCCTCTCTCTGTCCCATCTCTCTTTCCCCCCCTCTCCCCCCCCATCCCCCCTCCATACCAACCCCCTATCCTTCCTCCCTCCCTACACCTATCCTTCCTTCAACCCCCCCTACAAAAACCATCACCCCCCACACTAACAACTTACTCCACCATTACCTCAACCCCTCCCCCCCCCCAACCCACCCCCCCCCACTAACTCCAACAACAACTATACTAATACCCCATACCACAACCCTCCAACACATACACCCAATCCAAACAACCCCAATTCCTACCCCCAAAACCACCACCCCAACCCTTCCCTCCTCACTACCCCCATATACCCACTATCCCATTTCCCATACCTCACAACCCCAACTACACACCCCCCCTCCATCCCCCCCTCCCCACACCCCATTACCCCACACCCCCACACTTAAACTTTACCCACCACAACCACCCCCCACCATACACCATCAACCCCCCCTACCCCACTCCCCTCAAACCACACACCCCCCACCCCCCCCAATCCCCCCCAACACCCCCCCCCCAATACTCAAAAACACCCTACAACCCCCCACACCCCCCCCCATATACACCCCCTCCCACCCCCCCAACCACATCCCCCCCCCCCCCCCCCACCCCCCCCACACCCCCCCCCCAAATATCCACCCACACTCAACCCACACCCCACCTACACACCCATCCCCCCCCACCCAACACATACACCCCCCCCCCCCCCCCCCCCCATCAATACCACCCTACTCCACCCAACCACCCACTCCCCCCACCCCCCCAACCCCCCCCCCACCCTCAACACATCCCCTAACCACCCCTAATAAACTCATCCAATCCCCTACACCCCCATAATTCCCCCCCCCCAATACCCCCCCTATATAACCCTTCCCAAAAAAACATCCCCCCCAACCTAATCCCACCCCAAATCACCCCCCCAAACAAAACTACCCCCCCCCCATCCTACCACCCCCCTACCCCCCCCTACATTATCCCCCCTATCCCCCCCCCCCCCCCCCCCCAAACTCTTCACCCACCACCCCTATATCCCCATAAATCATCAACACCCTCCACCCCCCCTACCCATCCCTATCCCTACCCCACCCAACCCTCAATACCCCCAAATACACCCCCACCAACCCCCCAAACCCCCCCACAACCACCACATTACAACCCCCTACCCTTCCCCCATACCCCCCCACCCACAATCATAAACACACTATCCCCCACACCCACTTAACCAAACCCCCACACAAATCCCCCCTAACAAATTAAACCCCCCCCAAACCCATCTTACACCACCCACATACCCCACACAATTACACAAATTACACACCAAACCACACCACCATCTCCCCACAATACACACACCCTTCCCCCACCCAAACCACACTTAACCAAAACACAATCAACACCCCCCCCAACATCCACTACCCAAACCCCCCCCCCCCCCCCCAAAACACAATCAACCCACCCCACCAAAAAACAACACCCCCCACCCAAAACCCCTAAATCAAAACCACCACCCCCCAACACAACTATCCCAAATTCCAAATTCCCCAACCCCCCCACCACCCTAACATCCTCATACTCCCTCTACCCATCCCTCCCAACCCACACCTCATAACCCCACCCCCCCCACCACCTATATATTTTACCCATTATTCCCAAACAATTCTTATTCCTATCTCAATACTCCTTCCAATCCTTTCCACCTATACCCAAATCTTCCATATCATCAACCCCCCCCTATATCCTATTCCCTTCCTTACCCACCCACACTAACTCCCAATCCCCCCCCCCCCCTACATCCCTCCCTTTCCCTTCCCCCCTTCCCCACACCCCCCCCCATCAAAATCCACACCACACCCACCCCACACCAACATTCCCAAAACCAACCCAAAACCAATTTAACCCCAACCATTAACAAACAAACAACTACCCCACCTTACACAACCATTCCCACCACCAAAACCAACACCACCCACCCCACATTCAAACAAATCCCCACCACACAAACACACATTACCCACAATAACACCCAATATTACACCAATTAAACCCCAATCATACCAACAAATTACTAGAACCCACACCTTACAAAACCCACCCCCTCATACACTATCCCAACACCCTCCAACCCCCCCCCCCCTCACCACATTCCCCCCATCCACTCACACACCACACAAAACTAAACAACATTATATTCATTTCCCCCTCTCCCTTCAATATCCCCACCAACCTATACAACCCCCCACACAAATCCAATCCAACCCCACCTCTCTCCTCTCCCCCCTACCCTCCCTTACCCTTACCTCTATAACCCACACATATCCCCCCCCTATAACCACTCACATCTCTCCTCACCACCCTAAAATCCCCCCCCCTTTTCCCCACCCAACACACCCTTCCCCCCCCCTTTCATCTCCTTTCCTCCCCCTCTCCTCTCTCTCTCTCCTCCTCTCTCTCCTATTTCTCCACCCTTTTCTCTCTCTCTCTCCCTATTTCTCCCCCTCATTCTCTCTCTCTCTCCCCTCTATCACCCCTCTCGATCCCCTCTCTCCCCCCCTATTTTCCCTCCTTCCTTCTCTCCCCCCCCCCTCTCTCTCCCCCCCCCTCTCTACTCCCTCTCCCACCTCTTCCCCCCCTCTCTTCTTCCCCCCTCCTTCCACCATCCCCCCACCAAACAATAACAATCAAAAAACCCCCCTTCACCTATAAACAAATTTTCCCCCCCTCCCCATTCTCTCCATATACATTCCCCCACTTCCCCATCTATCTCTCTAACTCTCTCTCTCTTAAACCCATCTCTCCTATCTCTCACCCCTCTCTCTTTCTCTAATCTCTCTTACCATTCATCACCCCCCTCTCCCCCTATATAAATCAATTCCATACCTAACCCATCCTACCCTCAACCATACCCCCTTATTCTCTTCCATACCCCCTCATTCTATACCCCACCCCCCCCCCCATTCATATCATTCCTCCTTTCCAACCCCAATTCAACCCCCCCACCCCACTACATCCCAATAACAAACCACCAATATATCAACTAAACCCCCCCCCCCAATATACCTCCCCATCCTTTAACCAACCTCCATAAACCCCTCTACAACTCCCAATCCAACCTAACTACATTAATTACCCACACAATCCCCCCCCCCATATCCCCCCCCACCCCTATACCCCCTTTTCCCACCCCAATTCCCCCCTTTCCAACCCCCCCTCCCAATTCCCCCCACCCCCATACCCTAACTCCCCCCTAAATACCCCTATCTTATTCACTCCCCCCTTCCCCTCTTTCCCACCCTCCTTTCAAATTACCTTAACCCCTTCCCTATTCCCCCACTCCTACTCTACTCAATCTACTCTACTTCTACTCTACTTTACTCTACTCTACTCATACTCTACTCTACTCTACTCTCCTCAATCTAAACATCTACTTTACTCTACTCAACTTACTTTACTCTACTTTACCCTAACCCTAACTTACTCTACTCTCCTCAACTTTACTTTACTATCCTCTCTACTCAACTTACTCTCTCATCTACTTTACTCTACTTTACCCTACCCAACTCTAACTCTACTCAACTCTATCTCTACTCTACTCTACTCTACTCTACTCTACTCTCCTCGACTCTACTCTACTTCCTTACTCAACACTCAACCCTCCTCTACTCTCTACTCTACTCTACTCTACTATAATCTACTTTACTATTCTACTCTACTCTACTTAATACTTTACCCTAACCCTACAATCATCTCATTACTCTACTCTCACCTCCCTACCAAACTCTACTTTTCTTTACACAACCCTTACATTCTCCCATACACCCACCTTACACCCCCCTACCCCCCTAAACCCCCACACCCCTTCCCCCACCAACCCCATCCCCACCCCCCCCCTTATACCCCCTTCCCCCCACATCCTTAACCTTCCCATTTCCCAATATACCCCCCTCTTACTCAACCCACCTTCACATTACTCATCTCTCCTTCTCTATTCCCCCCCCAATCCAACTCATTACCCATCTTTCCCATCCACCCTCACTTCCCCCTTACCACTAAATCTACTCTTCTTATCACAACCCCACCCTTCCCCCTCTTCCCCTCTATCCAAATCCTAACCATATACTCTTATCCCCACAACTAACTCAAACCCATACTCCAACCCCTATTAAAACCCCCTCCCTACCATCCCCCCCCCCCCCATCATACCCAATATCTATCACCCCTACACCAATCAAATAATAAAACCTAACACATTATCCCCAACAAACCCCCACTCCCCCAACCCCTCTACCTACCATATTCACCCTACACCCCCCTACACAACACCCCCATACCCTTCCAACCCCCACCCCCCCCAATATACAACAACATTCCAACATATACCCCTCAACTCTACAACCAACCCCCTCAAACAACAAAACACCCCACACATCAAACACAAACAACCACACAACTCAATAACCCAACAATAACAACACACACTATTTCCCCCACCTCCCCCCTACCATATACCCAAAATTCACCCCCCACCCTACACTCCTCCTCCACCCAACCTTTATTCCACCCCCCTCCCCCATCCCCTACCCAAATCACTCCATCCCATCACACCACCTTTCCCCCCCCCCCCACAAAACCAAAATCCCCACTTAACTACACTCCCCATACCAAACATCATCTCCCCCAAAACACACCCACACCCTCCCTATCTACCCCCCCCTCACCCTTCCTAACCCACAACATCCCTCCTCTCCACCCCCTCTTCACTTCTTCCCCCCTCCTTTCCCCCCAATCATTATACATATCCCTCAAATACACTCACCATACACTAAATACAAAACCTCTCCCCCCCCCCACCCACCCCCCTCTTACCACATCTCTTTCCCCCTACTAAAAACCCACCCTACCCCCCTAATTCTCATCTCTCTTACTCCCCTTCCTTCTTCCCAATATTCCCCCAATCATACCCCCATTAACTCACCACCCTAACCCCCCAACCCTCCCTCCTCATCTTTCCCCCCCATAAAACACACCCTTTCCCCCCCCCCCCCTCACCATCTTACCCCAAACTTCCCCCCTCCCCCCCCCCACCCTCAATCTTCCACAATCCAAATCTCCTATATTCAACCCCCCCTAAACTTACCAAACCCCCCCATCCCATAAATCCTCTTCTCCCACCCCCCCACCCATACACACATATATCCCCCTAAAACCACACCTCATAATCCCCCATAACCCCCCCCCTACCTTACATCCATAACCCCCCCCCCCCAATCTCAATACTTAACACTCCACTCCTACCCTCACTAACTCCCTCCACAAACTCCCCTCCCCTAAACACCCCTAATCCAAACACCACCCCACCACACCCAAATCTAAATCCATAACCTCCCCCCCCTTCCCCTACACTTCTAATCATTCCCTCCCCTTTCATACAATATATCCAACCCCCCCCCCCCCCCCCCCCCCCCCCCAATTCTCCACCTAATTCCACTTCCTCTCACCCCACCCCCCCCTATTTAACCCCCCCATTAAATTAAAACTTACTTCCCCTTCAACTCTATATTATAAAACCTCCCCCCCTCCACCACTAATTACCCCTTACCCCCCCCCCCTCCACCCCTTAATAAACCTATTCTCCCCATATCCCCCCTTAACCCACCCCCCACCTACACCTCCACCATATAAACATCACCATCCAACCCATATAAATCCCTCAAATCAACCACATCCCATAACAATCCTCCACTCCCTAAAATATCCTACAACTCCCCCCACCCCCCCATCCCCAACCTTTCACACCCCCCCCCCTCTCCCCCCCCCCCATCCAAATTCCACACCAATCCACCATTCCCACTCCCCCCCTACCAATAACCAAAACATCCCCCACATCCCCCCCCCAATCAATCATCTCCCCTTTCATTCCAATCATTTTTTTTTTTTTTTTTTTTTTTTTTTTTTTTTATTTTTTTTCAATCTCTCCCTTTCATTACACCCAACATTTTCCACTCTCTCCCCCTTTCCATTCACCCCTTTTCCACATCTTATCCCCTATTCAATTCCAATATTTCCAATCTTCTCCCTTTTCCCTTAAAACCATAATTCCAATCTTCTCCTATCATTAACCCCCATCCATTTCCTCTTCTCCCTTTCCCATTAACCCAATCTAAAATTACAATTATCACCATACACCACACTCCCCATCCTCCTTCCCACCAACCCCCCCCCCTCACAAATCCCAACCCCCCTCCCATCACTCAACCCCCCCCACCCCCAAAACCCACCCTCACCAACCCCAACAAACCACTCCTTCAAACACCTCCACCCCAAAAACCTAACACCACAACCCTTACAATAACATCCCCCCCCCTATTTCTCTTCCTCCTACCCAACAACCCATTCCCCATAAACCCCTCCTTACCTCCCCCCCATTCACCCATTTCCCCCTTCAACACAACTCTCCTCCCCCCCCCCCAAACCCTCATCTCTTCCCTTTCAACATTTCATTTTTAACTATCCCCATTTAAACCATCCCCCCCCTCCCTATCTCTTTCCTCTCTCTCTTCCCCTCTATCTCCCCCCACTCTCTCTACCCTCTCTCCTCTTCCTCTCTCTCCCCCTCTCTCTCCCTCTCTCTTTCTCCCCCCCTTCTTTCTTCCCCCTCTCTCTCCTCTCTCTCCCCTCTCTCTCCTCTCCTCTCTCCCCATCTCTACTCTTCTCTCACCCTCTCTCTCTCCCCCCCTCTCTCTCCCTCCTCTCTCTCTTCCTCTCTCTACTTCCCCCTTACACTCTCTCCCCCTCTCATCTCCCTCTCTCTCCCCCCCTCTCTCTCTCCCCTCTTCTCTCCCACTCTCTCTCCCCTGGCTCATAGCGTCTTTCCTCAGACATGTTTTTGAAAGTGCAGTGAACAGAATACATTTGTTTTCATGGTATGATATGGTTAACCCTTACATGTCCTCTCCTCTCTCTCTCCCTCTCTCTTTCTCCCCCTCTCTCTCCCCCCTCCCTCTGTTTCTTTCTCCCTCCCCTTCTCTCTCACCCGCCTCTCGCTCTCCCTCCCTCTCTCTCTCTCCCTGCCTCTCCCTCCCCCTCTCTCTCACCCCCTCTCGCTCTCCCCTCCCTGCCTCTCCCTCCCCCTCTCTCTCACCCCCCTCTCGCTCTCCCTCCCCTCTCTCTCTCTCTCTCTCTGCCCTTCTACCCCCTCCCTCCCTCTCTCTCTATCTTTCTCTCCCTCTCCCCCTCCCTCTTTCTCTCACCCTCTCTTCTTCACCCCCTCCCCTCTCCCTCTTTATCTCGCTCCCTCCCACTCTCTCTCTCTCTCCCCCTCCCTCTCTTTCTCCCTCCTTCCGCCACTCCTCTCCTCCTTGCTCCCTCTCTCACAGAACGTCCCCACCCTGGGTGTCACAGCCATCACCCTGGCCAGCCTCCTGTGTGACCAGGTCAGTCTGGTGGGGTTCGGTTACCACCTCTCCCAGCAGGGGGCGCCGCTGCACTACTACGACCACCAAGCCATGGACGCAATACTGCGGCAGAAGATGCACGACGTAACCAGGGAGACGGAGCTGCTCAGGACCCTCCTCGAAGCCGGGACCATCACCGATCTCTCCGGAGGCATCCTCAGTATCTCGCCACAGACCACAGCAGGCTAGAGCTGAGACATGCGCAGTAAAACCACATTGGAATACTTGTGCAAGAGTCCCCAGTGTGACACCAGACAAGTACAGACGTAACACAATGCTCACTGTGAAACCAAAACAAAAACGGTTTCAATGAAAGTGACGAGCATTAAAGTGCTTTGTTCCGACTGAGAACAGCGCGTGGAAAGAAGTTAGCATGTTAGCGTGTTGGCATGTTAGCGTATCCAACAGTCCTGCTTCTCGGCAAACAAGATCTTCTGCCATAGGGAAGAAGCTGGGACATGGCTTTTCTGCGGGCCAGAGGAGTAATTTCTCTCTGGTCTCTCTGGTCTCTCTCTGGTCCCTCTCTCTGGCCTCTCTCTCTGGTCTCTCTCTCTGGTCTCTCTCTCTGGTCTCTCTCTCTGGTCTCTCCCTCTGGTCTCTCTCTCTGGTCTCTCTCTCTGGTCTCTCTCTCTGGTCTCTCTCTGGTCTCTCTCTGGTCTCTCTCTGGTCTCTCTCTGGTCACTAACACTGCTTCATTCCACTAATGTATTTGTTTTATTTAATATTTATTGAGCCGCTGTTGAAAAACCTCAATTTTTGGTGTAAAACTATATATTTACTTTACGAATTACAAAATCACAATCAAAACACACACGATTAGACAAAGTTTACGTGGATACTATCATTTCACGGCCTTAAAACCGAACATATTTGCATTAAAATTAATGTTTTGAGGGTTGAAATAGTTAATAGAAAAAAAAACAGAAAACACAACATTCTACATTTTTAGTCTCCAGTTTTTTCTTTTTTGCTTTTTTTTATGGTCAATGCCTTTGATTGGTCGATGCCTTTCATTGGTCGGTGCATCTGATTGGTCGATGCCTTTGATTGGTCGGCACAGCTGGTTTATGCCTCTCTCTTTTGGCACAAAATCAAATGCAATCATTTCCAAACACATTTTTAAAAGCAATAACTCTGTATTAACGCAGACGAAATCATGAAATGCAAATGTTTTTTTTAAATAATTGTAATTTATATAAAAATCAATGCTGTATAAAAAGCCTCAATGTCGTAGAATTCTATAGAGGTTTGAGAAAAGGGGTGAAAGAGAAAAGACATTTTGAAGGGAATGTTGAAAAAGTCCATTCTACTGTCCAATATTGAGTGTACGTTTTTGAATAATGTCATTTTTAGTAAAACAATAATAATATTTGATGAATATTTGGGACTTTCCAACCGTTTTGTTCCGTGTGGATTGTTCCAGTGATTACAGAGAAAATGGCTCAAAACTACTGCGAGAAATCTTGACTGATATCCTGGTGACATGTGAATACCATATGTGTGTACCATCACTGACATGATGACATTATGGTCAAAATACTACCTTAAAAAAACATAAATTATTTTCAGACTTTGCTGATACTTCCTTAAATGACATAGAATATAAATGTGATTCTAATGATGTGAAATCAGGTGCGTTTAAACGACTGGCTCTTTTCCTTGTTTTGTTGTGACAGATTAGGGCCCTTTAATGATGACAGATTAGATGACAGATTAGGGCCCTTTAATTATGACAGATTAGGGCCCTTTAATGATGGCAGATTAGGGCCCTTTAATGATGACAGATTAGATGACAGATTAGGGCCCTTTAATGATGACAGATTAGATGACAGATTAGGGCCCTTTAATGATGACAGATTAGATGACAGATTAGGGCCCTTTAATGATGACAGATTAGATGACAGATTAGGGCCCTTTAATGATGACAGATGAGATGACAGATTAGGGCCCTTTAATGATGGCAGATTAGGGCCCTTTAATGATGACAGATTAGGGCCCTTTAATGATGACAGATTAGGGCCCTTTAATGATGACAGATTAGATGACAGATTAGGGCCCTTTAATGATGACAGATGAGATGACAGATTAGGGCCCTTTAATGATGACAGATTAGGGCCCTTTAATGATGACAGATGAGATGACAGATTAGGGCCCTTTAATGATGACAGATTAGATGACAGATTAGGGCCCTTTAATGAGGACAGATTAGGGCCCTTTAATGATGACAGTTAAAACATTTTCGTAGTATCGTTTGCTCCTCTACAGTATTTACTTTTACTTGAGTAACATTCTCTAAACTACTATACTTAATTCTTCATATAGATAGTGTTTTATTAAAGCTGGGGTACCTAACTCTCAAACCACAAGAAAGTACTATATACTGTAATCTTTCTAACCTGCTCACTGGTTCTGGTCTCTTCTTTAGATCATCTTTAGATCAGATGTTTTGAGACAGAAAAGTGACAGAGAGAGCCTCCGTCTCTCGGCCAATCGGTGTTGTGGTCTAATTTATTCACAACATGTTTACTATGCTTTGTAAAAATACTGTTTTGTTGGGTCAAACTTAATGTATTATGTATTGAACAAAAACGTTAAGTACCCCAGCTTTAATAGGCCCAATATTACTGAGTATCTGTCGTCATTTCTCATTGTTTCCATTGTTATGAATAATAATAAGACTTAAACATCTGCAATATCTTTGAAATCCAACTTTCTAATTGTGAAATGGAAACTACAAGCAATATCTACAAGCCCTGTTTCCACCACCCCACTCGGCACGACTCGGCCTGACTCGGCTCTACTCTATCTGGTTGCGTTTCCATTAGGCTGTGGTATCTGTTACCGTATCCTAGCAACCTGCCTACAACAAACCAGTATCTGGGGAAATGCTGCGGTAACCATGGTTTCCGGCAGCACTCTGACCAATCACTGTGAGTTAGGACAGTTCAGTACCAGGTCGGTCTGGATAGAACCAGGACCAAGAGGGACTAAAGAAGAAGATACCATAAGAGATCCTTTATCCTCCCGCAGTGGGGAAATTTCAGTGTTGCAGGGCACAGACAGGACAGTAGTGAGAGACACAGGGAGGAAAACAAAATATATATTTTTTGTATATATTCATTTATTTGACAGGGACATTGCAGGTCAACACAGAACAAAACAAGCTTGTATCTGATGCAAAAAGAGTTTATGGCTTTTGCTAATTTCTAAATATACAATTTACAGTTTGTAGCTGCTATATTCCTTAGCAAGCTGTAAATGCCTCAATATAAATCTTTCAAAATATATTTATATATATATATACATATAGTGCAAAGAACCTGTCTTTAAAATAACTGCACTTTATTTACAAGTAAATTACAAGGGCACAATTACAGTCATTATTATCGTTATAACAGTATAAGACTAATGTCCCAGATCAAATGAATACATTCTAATTCAAATCTGTTAAAACGGGGCCGGTGGAAACGCTCCCAATCGAGGTAGAGCTGAGCCGAGTAGAGTAGAGTAGGGCCAAGTAGGGCTGGTGGAAACAGGGCGTATATGTGAATATTGAACTGAGTTCTGAGCTGAACCGTTCTCATTTGAAGCAGGCTTCAATGTTTTTGTTAAACATTAAATACACACTGTTGTCATCTGTCACTTGTTTTTCATGGTTGTATTTTATTATTTTCTGACAACACTTCACTGGAACCTGTTTTTAAATGTGCAGTATCGATGTATTAAGTGACTTTTCTGCTTTTGCTTTGTCTGGAAGGTTCTGTGATACGTCCTTAAACAGGTGCTGAACCGGACCAGTCATTTTCTCTAGCAATAAAACAAACTAATGTGAAAACACCTATTACTGAATAAACAGACGATGGTTAAAGTGAGAAAAAGACCAAACTCTGGAACATTCCAAAACATGTTCACAGGAAGGGACTGTCCAGGCAGGAAATGTGTTCCCAAAGCCCGGATGTGTGCGATGGATGTGATACATGGATCTGTAATAACAACAGATGTGATTTTTAAAGAAATTATTCAGACCAACATGACCAGTGTATTTACTGTGTGTGTGGACTTACTATTAAAATGACTACTTTATTAATTTACATGAACTATTTTTCATATTTTTCCTATTCATATCAACTTGTCCCTTTGTAAAGAATCTTTGAGAGTCCAAAAAAGCACTGCACAAGTTAGCAGTAGTAGCAGCATTAGCTAGGTCTATAGTAGTTGTGATAATGATAAAGTAACTATTTAGATACAGTTACTATAATATGCAGAGGTATTCTTTAACCTCTGCATATTTACTTTTACACAAGCACACATTGGTATAAAACCAGGGTGTCCAAATATTTAACATTTACAGTCTATTGTCCAATCTTTACATTAAGAGGGCCACTTTAGTTTACTAGACTTGCCCGGGGTCCAACAAAATGGATTGTAAAAATCTGTTTTAACAATATTCTTGCTGTTCTGGGCCTTAACATTGGTACGATATCTCACACCAGTCTATTTCCACACCACAGCCTAGCATACACAATCAAAAGCAAATAAAGGTGAAACCCGAACCCTAATGCAAACCCTGTACTGTTTACGTTGTGTTAGCACGCCACAGGGCCACCTACAATAACACAACGGGTCTGATTTTACACATTGCTCGTACAAAAACAATTCACGCTTTTATTTTGTAGTAGCAGCCGCTTTCTTCCCGCCTTTTATTGTGAAAGGACGCGGAGCCGGAAGTGCCGTTGTCTTTCAGTCTCTGAGGCGCGTGGTGGAAAAACAGACTCCGCTCAAACAGGTGCGAAAAGTTCTTATGGCGCTAAATTTAAGCCTTTTTTAACCTTTTTTCTCGCTCAGACCCACATTTCGGCTCATTCACAGACTTAACTCTACCATTTAGAACTTTAGTGTGTATTTGTACAGTGTGTATCCAGGGCTGGGCTCCTGCAGCGTCTGTTCATGACTTAAAATCCCATTGATTTAAAACTGTTAATTAATTATGTTTATGCTAATTTGTTTCACACTTCCTCTAATGAACTATGAGGCTTATTGCACCATTTAAACACGTTTCAAATGTGAATAATTAATTGGTTTGTGTTGTTTGACCTTCTTATGCACGCGCTGCTGTTGCTTGGAAACGACTTCACATGTTTCTGTTATTGTTTTTACTATTAGCATGTTATCTATTATATGTTAGCATT